ATAATACAAAATGTATAGGTAAAAATCCAATAAATAAATTAAAATAGAGCTGAGTGTGGTGATGCACACCTATAACCACAGAAGGCTGAGGCAGGAGACTCACAAGTTCCAGGACAGCATAGACAACATAGTGAGATCCCACTGCAAAATAAAATTTCAAAAAGGGCTAAAGCTGTAGCTCACTGGTTGAATGCTTGCCTAGCAGGCCTAAGCCCCTGAGTTCAACATCTGGGACTACAAAAAATAATAACTAAAATAAATATCTAAAAAAAATCCAATAAACCAAAATAAGTCAGGAAAAGAAGAACAGCAGAGGGGACAACAGATAAAAGACATATATCTTGGCTGAGGGTATAGCTGAGTGGTAGTGTACTTGCTTAGCATGCAAGAGACCCTAGGATCAGGTCCCCAGCATCACACACACACACACACACACACACATACATACAGACCATATATCCAACAACTATATCAATAATTCCACTAATGGACCAAAACACTTGACTAAAAGGCAGAAGTTGTTAGAATAAAAGCAAGATCCAGTGTGGAGAGCAGCGATCTAAATCATGGCCTATGTGACTCTTGTGGCTATGTTTGTGCTGGGAGCTGCCTGTGCGAAGGTACAGGTCAAGATGCCCCAGTTGCTATGGTAACACCAGCAAAGGGTAGCTACATGCAAGGCCAGGCCTTAAATTCAGCACCTTCTCCCATGGATAGAGGATGATGAGTAAAACAAAATGACCCTAATGTCTTGCCAGTCCTGTGTCCTTCAGATTGCTTGCTTTGCTGAAACTTTCCCACAAATAACCTTTTAATAATGAAACATATAAGCTAGCTAGCTCTGGAAACAGTCAAGCCTCACCAGGACTTGGCTACCCACCTGGCCCCAGCTTTTTCTTCCTATGTGTGTCTATCTATCTTTTTTTTTCATCTCTTCATCACCCCTCTGGTTACTGAATGAACCACCTAGGCATAAGGCCTCAGCAACCCAGTTATATGCTCTCTATAAGAGATGTACTTTGAATATAAAGACAGTTTAAAAGTTAATGAATGAGAGCCAAGTGGTGGCTGTAATCCCAGCTACTCACAAGGATGAGAAAGTTCTAGACCAAAAAGACAAAGTTCTAGGCCAGCCAGAACAAATTAGGGTGACCCTGTCTCAAAATAAAGAAAGGTGATAGCATGCTTGCCTAGCATGCACAAGGCTCTAGGTTCAATCCCTTGTACTGTGAACAACAACAACAGAAAGTTAATGAGTGAGTTGAAAAAAATATACTATAAAAACAGTAAGAGCCGAATGCAGTGGCATATGCCTATAATCCCAGCAACTCAAGAGGCTGAAGCAGGAGGATCACAAGTTCAAAGCAGCCTCAGCAACTTAGTAAGGACCTAAACAACTTAGTGAGACCCTGTTTCAAAAAAAAAATAAAAAGGGTTAGGGATGTAGTCCATTGGTTAAGCACCCTGGGCTCAATCCCTGGTACCAAAAAAACAAAACAAAAAAAGAAAAAGAAAAACTAGTAAGTTTAGAAGAAAGGAGTGTCATATTTGATTATAAAATAGAATTTAAGACAAAAAGTATTACCATACATAAAGAGGAATGTTTTATTATGAGAGCCAATTCACCAAGAAGACACAACAATAAATCCTTCAAACATGTCTTTCTGTTCCTTCAATCCTAAAACATTCTTCTTCTCTTCACCTGTATAACTTATTAATAATTTAATAATTTATAATTTCTATAGTGTGACCTTCCCCTGCTTACTGCCCTTAGTTAAAGCTCCTTCCTCTATGCATCCATAATATTTTGTACTTGATTCTAACACAGTGTACATGTAATTACTTTTTTCTAAGTCACTTTATGAATACAGAATATATGTTTAAAAAGTGTACAAAATAAGTGTACATCTCAATTATCATAAGGTTAAACTCCACAAAACAACTTCCCAGAATAAGAAACAGGACTGACATGAGCCCTCACCCCTGCCCTTTCTCAATCACTACCTTCTCCTTCTTCCCCCAAAGTACCAAACATCTTTAATTTTATGATTTTTTTTTATAATTTAAAATCTAACCATTTACCCCTAAAAGTTTTTTTTTTTCGCACTTTTTAAAAATGAAATAGACCATATGTCTTTTTCAGACCTGGACTAATTTGTTTCATATAAGGTTTATAATGTGGTAACTATAGATCACTTATTTTAACTTAAGTCTCATATTCCATTGTATGAATATGCCATAATGTACAATAACCATTTGGTTGTTTCCATTTGTAACTACCACAAAAAATTCTGTATTGATTGTTTCTGCACATGATTTTTCACACATACACATTCTATTGATGGGTCATAAGATATGCCTATCTTTTAACTTTAATAATAGGAAACTTTTCCAGCATAATAGTATCAACATAAATGCTCAGTTTTAGAATATTAGAATGCCCATCATTCCACATAGCCAGCATTTGGGATTATAAATTATTTGTCCTAATGAAAATAGAACTGTGTCCTCTTGTGGTTTCAATTTGCATTTCCCTAATGACAACTGAGGTTGAACACACTTTTATATGTTTATTAGACCCTTGGACATCCTCTTTTTGGAGTGCCCATTCACTCTTTGGCTTGTTTTTCCATTAGGTTATCTATCCCATTCTAATTAATTTGTAGGAGTTTTCCATATATTTTAGATTTAAGCACTTTCCTGATAATGTTTGATTATATAAATATTAAGTAAATGGTTATATACATACTTTATACCACATTGGAGCTTCCTCTCTCTCTCTCTCTCTCTCTCTCTCTCCCCCCTCTCTCTCTCCACCCCCTCTCACCTCATCTTCCCTTCTCTGTGTGGTGCTGGGGATCAAACCTAGGGTTCTACACATGCTAGGCAAGTGCTCTATCACTGAACCACATACCCCAAAACATTCTTTCCCTCTCTTTTGATGAACAAAAATTTTTAATTTTTTTTAGTTGTAATTGGACACAATACCTTTATTTTATTTATTAATTTTTATGTGGAGCTGAGGATCGAACCCAGGCCCTCGCACATCGAGGCGAGCGCTCTGCTGCTGAGCCACAACCCTAGTCCAGAAGTTTTTAATTTTTAATGTAGCCAAATTTACCAACCTTTTTCCTTTACAATATGTACCACTGGTGGCCTGTTTAAGAAATCTTTCCCTATCCAAAGTCAAGATGGTAGTCTTCTACAATATCTAGAAATTTTATGCTTTAGCCTCTCACATTTAGATTTATACTGTAATGGTTAATTTGAATTGTCAATTTGATTGGATTAAGAGATGGTGAAGATAGGCTTCTGGATGTGTCAGTAAGGGTGTGTCTAGGAATGATTGCCATGTGGGATAGTGAACTGAAGTAGAGACCTAAGAGTAGACAGCACCATCCAATAGGATGGTGGTTCAAATAGAACAAAAGTTGGAAGAACAAGGAAGCAGCGGTAGATGCAAGTTCAATTCTTCTTGAATGGGTTTTCCTGATTGTGGCTGTTATTGTCTGAGGATATCAGACTCTAACTCCTTCACTCTTCTTTTTTTTTTTTTTTTAATATTTATTTTTTAGTTCTCGGCGGACACAACATCTTTGTTGGTATGTGGTGCTGAGGATCGAACCCGGGCCGCATGCATGCCAGGCGAGCGCACTACCGCTTGAGCCACATCCCCAGCCCTCCTTCACTCTTCTAAAGCGGACTCTGCCAGTGATTCTCCAGGGAGTTTCCAGAAGCCTTCAATCTAGGGCTAGGGTAGCATGGTTGATCCCTCTTGTTTTGAGGCTTCAGCCTCTTGGACTGCGCAGCTACTGGTTCTTCCAGCTCTCCAGCATACAGACGGCCATTGTGGACTATCCAGCTTTGGTGGTGTAAGCCAACCTAATAAGTCCCCCTTTTTTTGTAATCATACTTCCTGTTGATTCTGTTCCTCTAGAGAACCCTGACTAATACATATACTGATATGGAATTAATTTTTGTGTATGGTATCAGGTCAGAGGAAAGTCTAATTTATTCCCAGGTATGCAATTTCTTCAGCATTATTTATTAAAAATACTGTCTGTCACTGTACTGTTATACCCTCCTGTCACAAATCTGTCATGGTTTTCTTTATATTTTGTTCCATTGCTCTATTTGTAAATTCTTGCACTGATATATGCTAGGGTTTTTTGTTGTTGTTGTTGTTGTTGTTGTTCTTTTCAGTATATGTGCTGTTTTAACTAGTGCGGCTGTATAATACTTCTAAAAATTTTTTTAAAAAGTCCTTCTGCTTGTTCTTCAATACTGTTGACTATTTTTACTCCTTAGCATTACTTTTTTCTTTCTTTATTTTTTTTCACCCCCCTTGATACTGAGGATTGAACCCAGAGATGCTTTGCCACTGAGATACATCACCAGCCCTTTTATTTATTTATTTATTTATTGAGACAGGTTCTCACTAAGTATTTAGGTCCCCACTACCTTGCTGAGGCTGGTCTTGAACTTGTGACCCTCTTGCTTTAGCCTCCTGAGTTGCTGGGATTATAGGCATGTGTCAACATGCCCAACTCTGGCCTTAGCATATCTATATAAATTTTAGGATCACTTTATCAAGTTTCTAAAAAATAAGATGAAATAATATAAAACCCAGTCAGGATTATAATTGAGATTGAAAGAAATCTATAGATTGATTTGGGAAGAACTGATATCTTTTTAATGTTGAGTCTTCCAACCTATAAACATAAAGATTTTTGTTTCAATTAACAAGGGCACTGTGCCACTGAGATACATAGCCAGCCCTTTTTAATTTTTATTTTGAGAAAAGGTCTTGCTTAGTTGCTGAGACTGACCTTGAACTTGCAATCCTCCTGCCTTAACCTCCCAAGTTGCTGGGATTACAGATGTGTGCCACTACACCCAACTCCCAAGATATAATCTTTAAATTCCCTGAAAATTGCTTGACACCCTCTCAGATTTTGTATTTGCCAGGTAATTTTTGTATTTGTCCAGGTAATCCTTACCTGTACTTCAGCTTGCCGTTCTTTTTTGACATTAATCAGCTGTTTTTGAAGGGATTTTATCTGTTTTCTTCCTTTTTCCTCCCTAGAAGAAATAAGAACATTTGGGTTTAGGGCAGGGCTTCTCAAACTGTAGTATGTACAAGGATCAATAGGACATTAAAAGCAGAATCTGTAAGTTCCTCCAGAGAGTCTTACTCAGTAGTCCTGAGATGAGGCCTTGGAATTTGCATCCCTAAGGAGTCCAGGCAATGCTACTGGTGCTAGTCCATGGAGCACACTTCTTTTTTTAAAAAAATATTTTTTTAGTTGCCAATAGACTTTTTTTTTTTTTAATTTATATATGGTGTTGAGAGTCAAACCCAGTGCCTCACACATGCTAGACAAGTGCTCTCCACTGAGCTACAACCCTAGCCATGGAGCACACTTTTGTAACGTTTTTTAAAAAGACTATTTTTTTTTCATAAATTTGTAGATTTTCTGGCTTATCAGTGCTGTATTTAAAATAGTTTCTGCTGAAAAAAAATTAAAAAGAGGAGGAAAACGAAGAGACAATAGAGGATCTCTTCTATTCTGAATATTTTAATTATATATTCTTATCTCAAAATAACCTTAGGAGATAGTCTAACATTATTCCTATCTTTCCTGTGGTAGACACAAAAATGTACCTTGCAGACTTCCAACTATAGGGAGTTTATGTGATCAGGTCCCAGCTTTTTTTGGTTCCTAGGGTTGAACCCAGGGGTATTTAACCACTGAGCTCTGAAATTCTTCACTGTCTATATTCTAGAGTCACTTCCCATAGAAAGGTGCTAAACCAATTACTGAGTGTGGCAGGGATACCAGGGCAGGCCCTTTCCAGAGAGCCAGGACTTCTCTAATGATTGACTTTGCTCAAATACTCCTTGATGACCTTGCCAAACCACCTTTTGACAGCCCAGGGATCTTTCCCATGCAAATTTTCCTCTCCTTCTCTTGGGGTCAGTCTTGCATTAGATCTGAAGATTCCCCAATCACCATTTCTCTCACACAGGTGTTTCCCCTGATAATATCTTTGCTTGGATAATCCCATCCATCTTGACCTCTATTTCTCAGGTCACCTGAACTAACACACTTTCCATGGTCACAAAAACAGTAATTAGTAGACATGGTTTAAACTCAGTCCTGTTAAACACCAAACCTGAGAATATAACTACTTTGTGTGACTGATTCTCAGGTTGTCCTGAGAAACAGAATTCTGCTTCTTTCTAGAAATTCCAGTATTTAGGTTTCAAACAAACAAAATAACAAAACAATATAAAAATAAGAAGTCAGGCACAGTGCTGCATACCTGTAATCCCAGTGACTCAGGAGGATGAGACAGGAGGATTGCAAATTCAAGGTCAGCCTGAGAAATTTAGTGAGGCCCTAGTAACTTAGTGAGCTCAAAATAAAAAATAAAAGTTCTGGGGATGTAGCTCAAAGTAAAGTATCCCTGGATTCAATCCTCAGTATAAATAAATAAATAAATAAACAAAAGAATAAAAAAAAATTATCACTAAACTGCATCTAGGTAAATATTTTTATTCAAGATTTTTTTTGGGGGGATGGGTACTGGAAGAAAACCCAGGAGTGCTCTTCCGTTGAGCTATATCTCTATGCCTTTTTTTTTTTTTTTTGGTTCATGGGGTTGAACCCAGGGGTGTTTAACCACTGAGCCAACTCTTTTTTAATATGTTATTTAGAGACAGGGTCTTGCTGAGTTGCTTGGGGCCTTACTAAATTGCTGCTTTGAACTCTCATCCTCCTGGCTCAGCCTCCTGACCCATTGGGATTACAGGCATGTGCCACCACACCCAGCTCCCCATCCCCCCATTTTTTTTTTTTTGTAATTTTTTTTTAGTTGAACACAGACAAAATACCTTTGTTTTACTTATTATTTTATGTGGTATTGAGGATCAAACCCAGAGCCTCACTTTGAAAGGCAAACACTCTACCACTGAGCCACAACCCCAGCCCCTCCCCAGCCCTTTTTAGTAAAATTATTATATTTTATTTTGTGAGAGTGTTTTGCTTAAATGCCCAGGCCAGCCTTGACTTTACCATCTTCCTGCCTCAGACTCCTGGGTCACTGGGATTACAGGTATGCACCATGCACACAACTTTTATTCAAGAAATTTTAGAAAGCATATACCTAACTAGAGTCTTGAGATTGTCATTGTCAAAACAAACTGTATATTAGGTATTTCCCTCTTACAGATCAGAAGAAACACATATGAGATATGCATAATACTTTATCTCTACTATTAAATCAACCTCCCAAGGTCAGATTCCTTCATACATACAAATAAATGTCATTTATAGGAGGCTATAAAAGTAATATATGACCATTTTAGAAAACCTAGAAAATGAAAAAAGAAAAGAAAAATTATCCCTAACCCCATTATCTAGGGTAAACTCTGGTTAAAATTTTATGACATTCCTTGCAGTCAAGGTACACTATAAGTTTCGTCTTCCAGAACTGAGGCTATATTATTTATCCTATTTTTTCGCTTAGCGTAATTATGTGCACTTTCTCTTTTCAATTAATTGAACATGTGTATTTATTTCTGTTCCCCCTTGAAATAATACTGAAATAATAAGAAAGGAATAATAAATGATATAAACATACAAAGAGATCGTAAGAGAAAACAATGCAGATAAAAGAAAATTAACAAGATTATGGAAGATATAAAGCAAAAAAGAAAACAATGAAATATAAATGTGTACAGAATGAGAAATCAAGAAGAAAACTGAATTAAGCTGCAGACCTCAGGAAAGCTCAGCACATAGAGGCACGAGGCATCTTTGAAGGCAGGTAGAGCTTGAGTTCCTTCCCAAGTCCTTGTGGTCATAACTGCCTTTCTTCATCTTGAACATGATGTGGGGTTTTTTTGGTTTTTTGTTTGTTTGTTTGTTTGTTTTTTGCTAGTTTTTGCTTTGTCTCTTGCAAAGGTTGAACCAGAAATTTGGGCAGTGAATGCAGTAGGAGGTGGAGAAGAAGGTCATGCTCAAAAGAGGGAAACAGCCAGGCATGGTGGCATGCTGGTGGATTCCAGCAGCTTTGAAGGCTGAGGCAGGAAGATTGAAAGCAACTAGAGATATGAAAAATTGTGCTCTATATGTGTAATATGAATTGTAATACATTCCACTGTCATATATAAATTTTAAAAATTAATAAAAAAAGAAGAAGAAATAAATAAGGGCTGGCGATACGGTTCAGTGGTTAGGCATCCCTAGGTTCAATCCCCAGTACTCAAAAGAAAAATAAATTAAAAATAAATAAAATTAGGGAAACAATAAAATTCTACTTACTGTATAGTGAGTTTCCCCAATCTCCTTCCCTGGCCAGCTCCCAAACACATGGTAGTCAGAGATCAAATACAGTGAATAACCATTACTTTTTCACTGCTTCTTGACCCACCAGGGGAAAAGATCTATAGATTCACCCAGCCCATTATATAAGGAATTACTGTTTACGTGTATAGAACATCCAATCAGCTTCTCAGTGCTTCACTCTTAAATACAAAGGGATCAAGTATTTAAAAAATTACTCTAACATTAAAGACACAGTCTAAAACAAACTTGAGGAGAAAAGCAATTTAGAGAAAAGACAGACAACACAAGGAAGACAAAACTTAAAAAAAAAAATAATAAGACAAGGAGCTGGGAGTTCGGTGGTAGGATGTTTGTCTTAGCATGCATGAGGCCCTGGGTTAATCCCCAGCAACAAAGGAAGCTATGAAAAAAATGAAAGACTTAAAGAGAATAAGAAAGAGTTCTTGAATTAGACGTTAGCATGAAATCTTTAAAAATTAAATAAAAGGATAGGAAAATCAAGTTAAGGAAATCTGAGATTAAATAAAACCTATACTGATGGTCAATGAACAAAAAGGATAAACTTATTTTACTTGTTTATTACCCAATCTGATATACTGTTATAGCAACACAAAATGGACTCAGATAAGGTCATAGGGCAACTCTCTGCTCAACTTTTCTGTAAATCTAAAATTGCTCTAACAATAAAGTCTAATAACTTAAAAGAAGCATTTCCTAAATACAACTTACTTAGTACTATCAAAGAACAAAATTTCAACAAATTTAGTTTAAAGATCTAATTAGTTTTCATTAGCAATTCATGAATTGGGCAGCATCCCATCTATGAAACAGAAAGGCATTCCAATGAGCTGAGCAGAGGAGGTAGGTTTTATTTATTCACTTAGCATTCGTTAGCATTTAATGAACCTCCAGAGCTCTGTGTGGCTTCAAGCCACCAGGACACAGGTACCCCCAACACCCTTAATCATCTCCTCAGTTCTTCTGTTGATGAATTTGGCCTTCACCATGTCAGGCTGCTTTGGGAATTTTCCCTTCCCCCAAAATGAGGTAGGTTTTAGGCAGAAAAGTACTGAAGAAGCAAAAACAGTGGGGGCGGGGGAAGCAGATTATCATTTAAAGTTACTTTTCTTACAGGGTTAAAGCAGAGGAAACTTTTTTTTATCATGCCAGCGCCTGTTCTTAAAACATAAAAATCCCCTCTAATTGGTTGCTGTGAATTTGCTAGTTTTTGGAAAATTGGACTGTTTTAAAATACAGTTTAATCATGTGGCATCTAGTGAAAGCACTCCATTCTGGTTTGGTATGATCTGTTGGGAGTAGTACAGGAACTCAGTCCTAATCAGCGACCTCCCATAAATTTTATTGGACTTAACAGTACCTACTTTATGCTCAGCTTCCTGACACAAGATAGGAACAGTCCTTGTGTGGATTTCCATTAATAAATGTTAAGTCTATAATAGCAGTTATTATTGTTATTAGGCAACTACTATGTGCTAGCAACTATCTTTTACATGTATTAATTAGTCTAGTGTTCATAATAACTCCAATATAGCTGGGGATGTAGATTGCTTACCATGTGTGAGGCCTTGGGTTCAATCTCTAGTACCACAAAACAAAACCAAAATAAAATGTAATAATTCTAGTGCAGAGTTTATTAGCAATATTAAGGAAAGAAAGAAAAGGGAAAACAATTCCACCTATCCAGACAAGATAACCACTTTTTTTATTCTAAATACAGTCGTCCCTTCATATCTGTGAGTTCCACATCCATGGATTCAACCAACCATGGACCAAACATATTTGAGGCCAGGTATGGTAGTATAGATCTATAATCCTAATAACTTGGGAGGCTGGGGCAGAAGGATCACAAGTTCAAGGCCAGCCTCAGCAATTTATTGAGACCTTGTGTCAAAATAAAAAATAAAAAGGTCTGGGGATGTAACTCAGTGGTAAAATGCCCCTGGGTTCAATCCTCAGTACCAAATGGGGGGTGCAATATTGAGTATGTACAAACTTTTTTTGTCTTTATTCCCTAAATAATATAATAACTAGGTATATAACATTTATTTTATATTAGTTCTAATAAGTAATTTAGAGATGATCAAAATACATGAGAGAATGTGCATTGGACAGTTTTGGTATGCACTTGGAGTCCTAGAAGCGAGCCCTTGTAGATACTGAGGTATATGGACTCAGAGAATTTTATTATACTCCCAAAGAACTTAAATGTGTTGATTCTCTTTTTCTTTTTTCTTTTTCTTTCTTTTTTTTTTTTTTTTTTGGAGACGGATGCTAGGAATTGAGCCAAAGGCATCAACACATGCTAAATATGTGCTCTACATATTACACCCCAGCCTTGTGTGGAATATTCTTAAAACATAAAAATCTTTGGTACAAGTTGAAAGTTTCTTTAAAAGAAAACTTCTTTTGGTATGCAATTTTTTGTTTGTTTTCTGGTGCTTGGGATAAAACCCACGGCTGTGCACATGTTAGTCAATTGCTCTATCATGGAGCTATACCATAGCCCCAGCATGAACTTGTTATTAATCAAAGATTTTTCACTGAACTCAGTCTCAGGCACAGTGCACACTCATTTACAGTGACACATATTTGTGATTTCAGTGGATCGGGAGGCTGAAACAAGAGAATTTCAAGTTTGAGGCCAGCCTGGGCAATTTAGTAAGACCCTGTCTGAAAATAAAAAGCAAGGGGCTGAAGATGTAGCTCAGTTGTAGAAACCCCTGGATTTAATAAAAATAAAGCGTTGAGAATGCAGTTCGGTGGTGGAGCACTCCCAGTTTCCATCACAAAAAAAAGAGAGAGAGAGAGAGAGAGAGAGAGAGAGAGAGAGAGAGAGAGAGAGAGAGACATATTACTATAGAAGGAAGAACAACCTTGATTTATCATAGATTCAGATAACTAAGGCCCGCAAGAAATCTGAGTTATTGACTCAGATTAGCTAGGAATAGAACCCAAATTTCTCACTTTCAGTTACTCAGTTATATCTTCCCTGGAAAGGAAATACTTGGTTTGTTTTAAAGTGGGGCTTGGTGGACACATCTGCAGTCCCAGCTATTCAGGAGGATGAGGCAGGACTACTACTTGAACCCAGGCATTTGAGACCAGGCAATCTGCACAACATGGCAAAAGCCCATATAAAAAATTTTAAAATAAAATCAAAGCAAAGAAATATAACATTACTTTACCTGGCAATGATATCATAGAAATGCATTTTTTTTTCCCTTTCTTTGTTCAAGGTTTGCAGGAGAGTTGTGAAAGTGCCTGAATCTTGTAACTCCTGCATGGTATTTTCAATCACATCACTGAAAAATATCCTGTAAAGAGGAAYAGAAAAAAGTTAATCAGATATATTTCCTTACCTTCATAAAGGGCTGTAGAAATCAAGTTTAAAGCCAGAAAGAACATCCTAAATTGGGATTATCCCAGGAATGTGATAATAGTTTAGCACTAGAGAGTTTATTAATAGAATACACCAGATTACTAAAGACTAAAGGAGAAAAATCATAAAATCATCTCAATAGTTGTAGAAAAGGCATATAGCAAAATTTAATACCCACTCATGATTTTAAAAGAAACACAAAAACAATAAACTCAGGAGGGTACAGTGGTGAATGCCTGTAATCCCAGTTACTCAGTAGGGTTCGACAGGAGGATTCCAAGTTTAAAGTCAGCCTGTGCAATGTAGCAAGACCCTATCTCAAAATAAATAAAAAGAGGGGCTGGGGCTATGGGTCAGTGGTAGAGTGTTCGCCTACCACATGCGAGGCCCTGGGTTCAATCCTCAGCATCATAAATAAATAAATAAATAGATAAAGGCATTGTGTCCAACTACAACTAAAAAATCAATATTTTTTAAATAAATAAATAAATAAATAATCTGGGTATGTAGCTAAGAGACTGAACTCTTGGGTTCAGTCACTAGTATAGCAAATAAAACAAAAACAAGAAACTCCACAAATTGTAAACAAATGATAACTTCCTTAACTTGAAAATCTTTACATACCAAGCACCAACAACAATGTTGAATCAACTGTATGATACCATATGCATAACATTTTAAACATGTGAAACTACTTGTATTGTTTAAAGAAAACACACGCATGCATACTAAAACTGTCATAACATGCTAGAAAATAATAAACATGAAAAAGTAGGAGGACTGAGATTGGAAGTTTTTATTGCACCTAAAATATGTTTCTTAAAAAAACCAAAGCAAGGACTGGGATTGTTGCTCAGTGCAACTTGCCTAACATGTGTGAGGCCCTGGGTTGAATCCCCAGCACCACATAAAACTAAATAAACAAAATAAAGGCATTGTGTCCATCTACAACTAAAAATATTTTTTAAAAAAATACCAAAGCAAACATGCTAAAATGTTAACATTTAATGATTCCATACATAAGACTTATTATTTCATACTTTACACTTTTCTGTATGTTTAAAATATTTCAAAATTTTGAAAAAGTTAATTTAATTTTTTTTAAAGAGCTAATTAAACCCTCACATTTTAGAGATGAGTAAATCTAGGTTCAGGAAGCTTAGGTGACTTGTCCAAGGTCACATAACTAGCTTGAAAAAGATACAGCACCATAACTTAAGTTTCTAGTCTCCTAGTTCCCTGCTGTTTATAATATTCTTCTAAGTGGGAATTTTTTTTTCTTTTTTTTAAATTATTAGTTGTTCAAAACATTACAAAGCTCTTGACATATCATATTTCATACATTTGATTCAAGTGGGTTATGAACTCCCATTTTTACCCCGTATACAGATTGCAGAATCACATCGATTACACATCCACGTTTTTACATACTGCCATACTAGTGTCTGTTGTATTCTGCTGCCCTTCCTATCCTCTACTATCCCCCCTCCCCTCCCCTCCTCTCCCCTCCCATCTTCTCTCTCTACCCCATCTACTGTAATTCATTTCTCTCTCTTGTTTTTTTCCCCTTTCCCCTCACTTCCTCTTATATGTAATTTTGTATAACAATGAGGGTCTCCTTCCATTTCCATGCAATTTCCCTTCTCTCTCCCTTTCCCTCTCAAAATGGGAATTTTTAAAACTGCTATTAGGGCTGCTGTAGCTCAGTTATAGAGCACTTGCCTAGCAAATGGGCACTGGGTTCAATTCCCAGTACTTTAAAAAGAGAAAGAGAGAAATAAAAACTCCTATTTATTGTTTTCATACTGAGTTGGCTGGAACTATACTTACTACTTTATTAACAATAGTTCACACAAAAAAATTCAATTGCTACATTAATAAAAAATTATTCCCAGTACTACACGCCCCCAAAAAGAAAAGAACTATACAGAAGAAACTAAAACATAAGAATCTGAGCAATAAGAACTTATCTCTTTTGTAATAGGTTAAGATAAAACAATTAAAAATTCTTAATTTGATATGATAAAATTATAAGGCATAAAAACACTAGAACAAGGAAAGTATATAGAAACTTGCTACAAATTCCCATTTGAAATTCATAAACTACTGTAGTTTTCATGCCTTTAATATTTGATTTTCACTTTGATTCTAGATAACAGGTAGAGATGTACATTTCATGATTACATATCACTCTAGGTTTCATAATTGAAATTCTTAAGGAATATATATCTAAGACAAATCCCCTAAAAATAATCTGAGACTGGTATTTTTCATCTCTCAGGAAAATATATGAACCATCACAGTAAGAATGAAAAGAACATTAACCAGATTGGGTAGTTCATAAGCAGAATACCTTTCTGTCATATGTGCAAATCTGGGCCAGACTGATTTTTAGCAAGAATCCTTACCTTATTTAGATCTAATATAGAAGTTGGAAAATTTTTTCTGCAACAGGAAAAAGAATACATATTTTTGGCTTTGTTGGCCATAGATCTCTTTTACAACTAGTCAACTTGTGGATTATAGCATGGAAGCAGCCCTTAACACTGCAAACAAATAGGAAATGTTGTATCCCAATAAAACTTCTTAAAAACATACTTCCAAATGAATTTAGTTAGTGACTTTGGGTAAATTCAATAAGCTTTCATTTACCAATAGTCTTTTACCATACAACGACAACAACAACAATAACAACAAAAACTGATTAATAATAGAAATTGAGACTACTTTTAAGAAATCCTCGCTATTCCTGAGGATTTCTTAAAAGTAGTCTCAATTTGTGGTAGTCTCAATTTGTGGTGCATACAGTATCACACACCTGTAATCCCAGAGGCTTGGGAGACTAAGGCAGGAGGATCAAGAGTTCAAAGTCAACCATAGGCTCTAAGCAAAGATCTAAGCAATTTAGCAAGGGCTGGGGATGTGACCCAGTGTTGAACGCCCCTGGGTTCAATCCCTGGTGCCAAAAAAAGAAAGAAAGAAAGAAAGAAAGAAATCCTCAGGATTAAAACATGATTTTTAGGATTTTCCTACTTTGATAATGGCTATTTCTTATTAATAGATAAAGCATCACAGTAGCTACCAATCTGTACTAGACACTAGGCTAACACCTTTTTTTGGTGGGGGGCTAGAGGGGATTGAATCCAGGTGTCCTTAACCACTAAGCCACATCCTCAGCCATTTTTGTACTTTATTTTGAGGCAGAATCTCGCTAAGTTGCTTAGTGCCTCACTAAATTGCTGAAACTGGCTTTGAATTCACTACCCTCCTACCTCAGCCTCCTGAGTCACTGAGATTACAGGCAAGCACCAGCAAACTTGGCCAAAGGCCTTATTTTTAATCCTTACATTAATGTTGTAAGGTTGCTACCATTATCCTTTTGGGGGGTTCTGGGCATGGACCCCAGGGCCTTGCATATGCTAAGCATGTGCTCTATCACTGAGCAATACCCCCAGCCCTACTGTCATTTTTAAAAATTGGATACAAAGGCTCAATAATTTGCCCAAGATAATACAATCACATGCTTTCAACTGTACTACACTGTTTCCAGGCAGTCTTCAGACAATCCTATTATCAGCAATCACTTCAAATATAATGACAAATTCTAATGCAACATAGCAGTCAACCAGCCTTGCACCCATTCTCTCATCTATGTATAAATGCATCATTACATTTCCAAATATGTTCTCCTTACCTATCAATCTGAATTTTCTTCATTATCTCTGTAGACATTATGGACTGCATTGTAGGTTGTTTAAAGACAAGATCCTGCATTCTGTTAAACTCCATGGAAAATTGACCTCCTTGCGGCATTTCTGGCAATGTGGGTTTTTCTTTAGTTGAGACTGGAGTAGATATTTTGTTTGTAGAGACCAGCAGAGATTTTTCTAGGCTACTGATATTCTAACAAAATATGAGGTTAAGAAAGATTTTTTTAAAATGAAGAGACAATGCTCTAAGACGACCTGCCTCTGTCTATAAATATTTTTTTAACTTCATTTTCTCCCACTTGTATGCTATCCTCCAAAAAAAATGTTCCCTCTTCTTTAGTCACATCAAGTCCACATATCCTGCTGTTTATAAGTTGATAAAGAAATTAATTTATATTATGAAATTCCTGTAATACTGATGTTTGCTTATTTGTTTATTTATTTATTTACTTGCTTGCTTACTTATGGTAGTGCTGGGGATCAAACTCAAGGCCTTACTCATGATAGGTAAGCACTCTACTACTGAGTTAAATCCCTAGCCCATTAATGTTATTTTAAAACTATCTCAAGGGGCTGGGGATGTGGCTCAAGCGGTAGCGCGCTCGCCTGGCATGCGTGCGGCCCGGGTTCGATCCTCAGCACCACATACAAACGAAGATGTTGTGTCCGCCGAGAACTAAGAAAAAATAAATAAATGTTAATATTCTCTCTCTCTCTCTCTGTCCCCCTCTCACTCTCTCTTTAAAAAAAATAAAATAAAATAAAATAAAATAAAACTATCTCAAACCAGGCATGGTGGTACACACCTCTAATCCCAGTTATTGGGGAGGCTAGGCAGGAGGATCTGCAAGTTTGAGGCTAGCCTGGGCAATTCAGTGAAACCCTGTTTCAAAAAACAAAAACAAAAACAAAAAAAAATATAACAAAGGGCTAGGAGTATAGCTCAATGGTAGAGTGTTCATTTAGCATGTACAAAACCTTGTGTTCAACTCCCAGTAGTACCAAAAATACAACAAAGTAACAACAACAAAACCACCTTCAAATTCATAGAATTTTAGAATTGGAAGGGATATATGGATCATTTAAGATAAAACTCCATTATAATTTGCAAATTAGAAAACTAAGACCAAGAAAGTGAAATTGATTGCTTATTGTTTACAACTAAACCCAAAGGTTTCCTGACACAAAATCTGGTGTCCTATTAAAATCTTATATAAAGTTTTAAATGTTAATCAAGTTTTAAGATCCCAGACTATACTACTACTACTACTACTAATAATAATAATAAAGAAATTTAAAAAATATTATGAGCAATTAAAGGGAAATTTAATTTTCTTTTATTAATATGGACTTCTTTCTTTTAGACCTGGAAAGCACTTTACCCTCTAACGTATGTAGCAATTTCATTTGTCATAAGATCAGAAGAATATATTTTGTGCAAATCATATGTCTAAAGAAGAAACCTATGTAACTGAGGTTTACAAGAGTTTAAAAATTTGTAAAGACTTTTCTCACTACCAAGTTAAGCTTTTTGATACCTCAGTGGTCCTCAGGAGTCCAAAAAGTCATTGGAAATATAATGACTGAAACATGGCCAGATACCCACAAAAGCAGGATACAAGATAGCCAGCAATTACAACAAGGTCATTTTTTTTTTTAATATTGAGGATTGAACCCAGGGGTACTTTATGACTGAGTCACACCCCTAGCCCTTTTTATTTATTTATTTTTGAGACAGATTCTCACTTAAGGCCTCATTAAGTTGCTAAGCCTGGCGTTGAACTTGTGATCCTCCTGCCTCAACCTTCCAAATCACTGGGATACAGACACATGCCATCACACCTAGCCTAAAGGTGTCTGTCTGCTGGTTGCTTCGGCCTCTTGAATAGCTGGGATTAAGGCATGTGCCACCATGCAGCCTACAAAATCATTTAGATTAAAACAATATTGAGAGTCCAGTTGAATTTCCTCCCTCTGTTAGCTTTTAGTCACTGAGAAATACAAGATAGGTAGGAGAACTTAGTAATTTAATCTCCTCAGTATACATACAGTTGTTTGATCTCCTCAATATATATAAAGCTATCCCTCAGCACCTACAGTGAATTGATTTCAGGACCCCTGTGGCTGCTCAAGGCCTTGTATAAAATGGCACAGAATTTGCATATAACCTATCTATATCCTCTCATACCTTTTTTCATCTCTAGATTACTTAAAATAACAATGTAAAATAATTGTTATACTGTATTGTTAGGGAACAATCATAAGGAAAAAAATCTGAACTTACTTACTACAGACACAATGTTTTTCTGAATATTTTTGCTCAGAGGTTGAATCCATGGGTGCAGAACCTGCATATATGGAAGGCTGACTGTTCCATATTTACAGTGACTTAACCATACACCTTTTGAAATAATACCAATATATTGGAAAGAGATATTCTGCCTCATCATGTACCTTGAGCTATGACAATTTTATTCCATCAATTGAGAATACATGTCTCAGATAATTATGATAGCCCTTTATCTGAGATAAAGATGTTCCCCAAGTTAAATTTACTATAAATGATAAAAAGGAAAGAAAGCAAATTTAAATAATGGAGAGTTTAATTACCATGCTAGTGCTTTGTTTTCTTTCATAGTGAACTGGCATGATATAGTTTAGAATAGAAAGTTGGTCAAGGGTATCCTCCAGAACTGCAGAGAGTCTCAGCACCTCTAGAAGGGAAAGTGGCTCTCTGATTTCTGGGATGACTTCTATATCTACTACATTAGTTGATTCTTCCTCTTCTTCTTCTTCTACGGCACTAGGTGGTTGGCCTGTCACCAACACGGTTACCTCAGGATTCCAAACTTTTGGAGAAAGAGGTAAGTCTTCCGGACTATCTCTTAAAAAAGAATAAAGAAAAAAGAAGTTAATGACCAATGTCTAAATATTATTTAGATTCAAAAGCATAGGCAGCATGTAGATCTGCTCCTGTGAAGTTTTTATTGTCATATAACTTAGATTTTTTTTAAAAGTAGGCATTTACTTGGGATTTTGCTAAATACCTTCCACTTTGATGAAACAAGGACATGTTTAATAAAGACATATAGCCCATGCTATTTGGCTATGCTTAACCAATTTAAATTTGAGACAAAATCAGCTTTATTTTCAAACATCATCTTTAAATGCTAACCAAAATTTTCTCATGATTAGAGAAAACCAGAATGTGGTAAACAGCCTCCAAAGTGGCCCAAATAGTTCTCACTTTCTGGCATTTATAGCCTTGCATAGTTTCCCTGACAGTGAGTAGAACTAACCTATGTGGCAAAAAGGATATTGTGAAAATGACAAGAGTGTGACTTCCAAAGTTAGGTGACAGAAGACATTACAGTTTCTACCTTACTCTCTCATATCTCTTCTCTGAGGGAAGTGAGTTGCTGTGTCATGAGGACACTTGATCAGCCTTGTGCAGACATGCATGAGAGTAAGAACTAAAGGCCTCTTGCCATCAGAAGCATCAAGTTGACAGCCAAGGCACCATCTTGGAAGTGGATCCTCTAGCCCACACCACTAAGTTTTTAAGTAACTGCAGGCCCTAGTGCACTTCAACTTTATGAGAGACCCAAAACAGGACCATCCCTCCAAGCTGTTACCAAAGTCTTGACCCACAGATACTATGTAAAATAATAAATGTTTACATTTTTATTTTTTATTTTTGAGAGAGAGAGAGAGAGAGAGAGAGAGAGAGAGAGAGAGAGAGAGAGAGAATTTCAATATTTATTTTTCAGTTTTCGGCGGACACAACATCTTTGTTTGTATGTGGTGCTGGGGATCAAACCCAGGACGCACGCATGCCAGGCAAGCGTGCTACCGCTTGAGCCACATCCCCAGCCCATGTTTACATTTTTAAATCACAAAGTTTTAGGGCAATTTGTTAAACAGCAATAGATAAAGAGCACATAAAAAATTACCATAAAGCATAACTAAAAACATACACACATATACAATGAATTAGAATTTTGAACATACTCTTCCATTCTTCTTTAGTTTTGTTATCCTCCACAATGTATTTAATAATCTCACAAAAAGGCAGTCAACTAGAATGAGAAGGAAACATTTGAGATTAGTTTAAGGGAGTGCTGAATGATGTTTCAATTATTTATATTCCCTTTAAAAGAAAATTTAAAAATTATAAGAGCTGTGGTTTATCCTCTCACTTTGCTTAGTAGAGCAGTCCCTGGTATAAAAGAAATACTGATATTATGGGATACAGGTCTAACAAGTAGTCAGCTTAATTATTATTCTACAAAACCTGAAGATATATGCACTCCTTTTCTTCTCCTCTTCCTGTTCTTCTCCTTTTTGTAGTACTTAGTACTACCACTAAGCTACATCCCAGACCTTTTTATTTTTTGAGATAGCATCTTGCTAAGTTGCAGAGGCTAGCCCCAGATTTGTGATCTTCCTGACTCAACCTCCCAAGTAGCTGAGATTACAGGTGTTCACAGACAGGCCTAGTAAAAGAATATTTTAAAAATTTAAAACACAAACATATCTCTCCTTAGGACTCTTCCATGTTTTCCCATTATCTTAGATCAAGGACCAAAATTCTTAACTTGGTCCATAAGTCTGCATGATCCAGACCCATCTGGCAATGCTGTTTTCTTGCTCTTGTCTTTAGCCTGAAGGGTTTCTTTCAATTCTATGAATCTTGCTCTCTTCCACATGCTATTCCTTCATTCTTTTCATCTTTTCACCTAGTAAAATCCTACTGAACCCATTAGATACCAACTTAAAACAGTAGCATTTTTTGAGACACCTACTATTTACCTCTATAAATTCAATCTCCATCAATTTCTGTGCTCTTAAGACTGATTCATATGAAATCCATCAATGAGAGAGTCCAGAAAGAGATCCAGGTGCAAGAGAGTCATGTCAAGTTATTTTTCTTCCCAGCTCCCTCCCTGACATATTATCTTTGGTTGGCTGTTTCTCTATTGAAGGTCATGGCTCCTGCCGGCAAACCCTCACCCCACTCCTGGCTTAGGTAACAACTTCTTTCCCTGTGCCTAGAGACTGCATTATCTCTTTAAATTTTATTCTTGCCTATATGTTTGTAAGGTACTTCACTAAACTCTTACCATGCCAGATACACACACACACACACACACACACACACACACACACACACACAGACACACACACAGTGTTGTATTTAACACACTGAAAGAAGTTTCATAAAATAACTTAACATGTGATACTTTGTTTTATTGTTTTACATTTTATTTTAAAAAGTATGATCATGATCTACTAATGCATCATCACCTGCAGTTTGAAAAATGCCTTAGATGTCACTTCTCTAGGTGTTTCTTTCCCTGACCCAAAAAGATGGATCATGCTTCCTCTATTCAAGTAATCATAGAACTCTGCAAAGCTCTCCTTACAATTTGTAATGTTTATGTCAATTTTACCCAATAGTCTGTTAGGTTTCATGAGAGCAGGAACCATAACAATAAATCTCACTATTGTATTGTAAGCACAGGCACCGTGCACAATAAGTATTTAATACCTCCAGGAATGAATCTTTCTTTTCTAAGTTAAAGAGGAGAATCATGCTGGCATGTTCTCAAATCTGAGGTACACACTAATGACATATTTGCACACAGCATTTCACGTGTAACTATACTCAGTTCTCATTTCATAGATTACACAAATATTTTTGCATAAAAGTCACAATTTTAATATTGGGTGCTATCCATTGTACCTTGAAGTCTATTTTCTCAAAAGGAATATGCTATTGTCAAATAAACTTCTACGTACTTTACAAGTGTGGAATGCCTCACAAAAATTTGTGTGTCATCCTTGCGCAGGGGCCATGCTAAATCTTCTCTGCACCATTCTAATTTTAGAATATGTGCTGCTGAAGAATGAATCTCTTAAGTAGCAGAATTTCTAGTATATTTCTGGGACAGAGAAAACTGGATGGGATGGTGGGTTACAAGGAACAGAACCCTATCCTGTTGTATTTAATAGAGTATCTGATTTTAAATGTGACATACATTTATTTCATAAAATGTTGGAGTTGTCCTTTACTCCTCTCTCTCATTAATTATGTATCAGCAATACATTTAAAATATTCAGAATTTCAGGACTAATCACCTGTACTGAATGTCCATCATCTCTCAACAGGACCATAAGAGTAGCCTCCTAACAGGTCTTCCTGCTGCTTCCCCTGCTTCTCTTCAGTCTCAACACAGTGAACCCATCAGACCTAGTCACTCTTTAGTTCAGAACCTTCAAATGACTTCCAATGCCAGAGAAGAAAAAAAAAAAAAAAGAAGCCTCTTAATTTTTCTCCACAAAAGTTATCACTTTCTAATGTACCATATATTTTACTTGCTCGTTTTCTTGCTCCCCACAGTATGATGTAAGCTCCATGAGAACAGATTTTTGTTTATTGCAGCGTCCTACAATTCTCGATCCTTGGTAGCCATTCAATAAACTAGTTGTTGAATAAATTAATCTATAGGGCTACCCAAGTAAATGCGCAATAATTAGGAAATGTAAACCTCTGACTCCTCCAATCCATCTCATTCTAATCTTACAAGTATTTATGAGACCTATTAAGCATGGCAGGACGCGGGCGCCCCGAGTTTGTCAGCTCAAAGAATTCTCCTTCGCTGGACATACATGCTCTCCCTCCGAATAAAAGCAAAGGAGGGCGATAACTTTTAAAGGCATTTCTCTCATTATTTGGGATGGGCGGGAGGGGGATGTCTCACGATGTGGCCCAGGCTGGTCTCGAACTCGCGGGCTCAAGCGATTTTCCCGCCTCAGCATTCCGGGTAGCTGGAACCACAGGACTGGGCCACTACGCCCAGCTTTTAAGTAGTTTCATTTAAAAGTGAAAGGAGTAGAGGGAAAGGAAGGTAAAGTGCGGGGAAGTAGGGAAGGAATTGCTCATCCTGCCTTCGGGCTCCCAGCCTTTCTCTTCAAGTCTAAGGTAGGATCCGTAGGTCTCCCTTGGTCCTACTTCTCTGAGGAAGGAGGGAAAGACATTCCTTATGTTTGAGAATCAAAAGTGTGATATCTAAGGCGGGGACGAACGTTCCCCGGTCCAGCTTTACCTGCAGCACCTCTCGCCTTCGGAAACAAGCTAAGATGTTGCTATGGCAACATAGAGGGGAGGAGACCGTTTTCGCTCCTCCTTTAGCTGGCTAACAACTTTGCCTCTCTCTGTTCTCAAACACTACAGTTTGTAGCTTGCAAAGATGAAAAGACTTTGGGAAAATTTATATGAGTGCTCCTGAAAGTGACTTTTTCAGTCCGAAGACGACTTCTAGGACTAGTTTTTCTGGCGGCCGCGGAGGATGCCTAAGTTAGGGGCGGGGCTGAGCAATGTTTATCCCACAAGGCCATGCGGCGGGGCCTCGCCTTCCCTTTTCCGCCATCTTGGAGGCTGTGGAGGTGAGTAAACCCCTCGCTGGTGAGCTTTGGAGGCAAATAACTGGGTTGGGTTTACCCATATACCGTGGCGAGGCACCGATTCGGTTCGGAGACTCTGCTTGCCAGTGATTTCTGTGGGTTTCGGGAAGAAGGAGGACGGGATGGCGGAGATGAGAGACTGATTGTGCTAGGCTCCTAACACCTGGTGAATGAGCGCTGCGGTAATTATAGGGGATTTGGTAGCCCAAGCGGGGTAAAATTGTCACTCCTTATGCAGTTGCTTGTGAAGCAGTGGTTCCTTGAAGCTGCCTTTTTTTTTTTCATTTGCTCCCATTCCATACTTTTGCATGTTTACAACCTCAACTTTTCTCTTAGCTAGAGCAAATGTCTTCTGTGTATTTTACCGCCAGCTTCGTACGTAAATCTTCATTTTTCAGTGAATTTTATCTGTTACTGATAGCGGCATGAGTTAGCTCAGGGCTTCCGATTGCGGCTTTTAGGCGTTCTTCAATGTGTGGTTTTGCTTCTTAGTTACTGTCCTCATTTTGGAGTTTGCTTAGGTATCATTCATTCTCTGAGGTTTGAATGTTTCGCCAAGCTCTGCGCTTCATGTAGGTGCATTACGCTTCCCCATATTCCCATGAAATGGGTCAAAAAGGAATTTGCCTGAGAGGCTTAAGAAAAATGACAGGTGAGAAACTTGTGTTGCATGGTTTTAAACTTAGTTTTGTTTGTTTTAAGGCCTGCTGGGAACAGGACTTCTAAAAGACAGATATGTCTGGAAGGTATGCTTCTTAAATATATTTTTTTTCTCTCCCCACGCCACTTTTAGAGGTAAACCTATATGCTGGTTAAAATTTGGTGTTTGCTATGAGTAACTTTCAGATGGGGGCCCTCACAAGTCAAATCATCTTGATGGTTTAGGAAGACAACCGAGATATTTTAACAGTTACATTTAACGTAACATGTATCGTGTGTTTCTTAGGTTGTGGTGCAAAGCCATTTTTGCTGGCTATAAGCGGGGTCTCCGGAACCAAAGGGAGCACACAGCTCTTCTAAAAATTGAAGGTGTTTATGCCAGAGATGAAACCGAGTTCTATTTGGGCAAAAGATGTGCTTATGTGTACAAAGCAAAAAAGTAAGTTTATACTACTGTGTGCCTTGGAATTTTTACTTTGCCTTATTTTTCTATTGAAAGGGTAAATAATGTTGGTAAAGTAATTGGTACTGCCGTGGCTTCTGCTTTGATCCTTTTAAGGAACTTCATGGGAAGTTACAGGAGGTGTTGTTTTTTTTAAACCTATTGTGGGTAGTGTTGCACTGGGAAAAACCACAGCTGTCACTCAAGAAGTTTCAAGAAGCAGCTATTTACTCTTAATGGTTTATGTAATGCTTTTTTCACGTACCTTAGTTAGTTTTGTTCTTTTAGATATTTTTCATGTATGCTTTTAGATGTTATATTTTGTGTATGTGTGTGTGGGGATTGAACCCAGGGTTTTTCACAAGCCCCTAGCTGTAACCGCAGCCCAAACGTGATTTTAATACTGGGCTTGTGGGGGTGGTGGTGTACTGGGGATTGAACTCAGGGGCACTCTACTACTGAGACATACCCTTCCCCTTTTTTGAGATTTTTAAGTTAACACATGTGGTTGGTTTCATCCTGGCAGATTGATGCGTTGGTTCATGGAATTCGGATTTCAGCCCTTTTATTTTATTTGGAGATAGGGTCTTCCTGAGTTGCTTGAGCTGGTTTTGAATTTGCTCTTCTCTTGCCTCAGCCTTCCCAATCACTGGGATTACAGGAGTGTGCCACCAGGCCCAACTTAATCCTGGGGTTTTTAGCTCACTCCAGACCAGTTAAAATCTCTGGCCTCCTTTTCCTGTTTAGTCAGTATTCCTTTAAAATTTCTAGTTCCATCACATGTAGGTTGTAAACCCCAGTGGGTCATCTCATTCAGTTAAAAAAAAAAGCTAAAGTCTCAATGAGGAGCCTCTTAAGAACATGTACATTGAGGACTCCACATTTTTGCTCTTGTCCCAGGCTAGGGCTCACCACTTTGTACCTACAGTCTCCCTAACTTGGGGTTATTATTTAAGGTTTTTGGTGTAGGGGTTGTGTGTGTGCCCCTGCGATGAGTAGGGGTGCTGGGGATTGAAATCAGGACCTTGTGAATGCAAACTAAGCACTCTTCTACTGAATTATCTCCCCAGCCCCCCTTCAGCTCTTTAGCATATGCTGTTCCTTCTCTCTGCCATGGTCATCCCCTGATAAAGGTGCCTGGTATACAATAGTTATTTTATCTGGAATTAAAAGTGTTCCAGACATACTCAGTGGGTAACCAAGTTTGAGAGGTACTAGAGGTTAGTAACCATGAACTTGTATGAGACTATATTGTTTATGTGAGTTCTCCTTCCTTTTTTATTCCCTTTTAAAATCAGCAACACAGTGACTCCTGGTGGCAAACCAAACAAAACCAGAGTAATCTGGGGAAAGGTAACTCGTGCCCATGGAAATAGTGGCATGGTTCGGGCCAAATTCCGAAGCAACCTTCCTGCTAAGGCCATTGGACACAGAATCCGTGTGGTAAGTAGAAATTTTTAGCAAAACAGCCCTCTTCTGAGACAAACTAAGCTCAAGAGGTTGAGCTGTAACTTCTAAGGATTTTTTTGAGTATAAAATGAAGCTAGTAAATTGTGCCCAAATCAGTGACTATAGTGTAGCTAATGAGTATTACATAACATCTGATTTGGCATCTTATAGGAAGGTGAAGGCAAAGTGTTCAAACAAATTGTGCCCATCTGTGCATGGCGGCACATGTCTGTAATCCCAGTGACTCCAGGGGCAGGAGGATCACAAGTTCAAGACTGTCCTCAGCAATGTAATGAGACCTTGTCTCAAAATAAAAAAATAAAGGGCTGGGGGTATAGCTCAGCCATAAAGCACCCCTGGGTTAATAATAATCCTCAGTACAAAAACAGAAAATTTGTGCCTAAATTTCAGTTTTGCCAAAGCTACTTGAGGAAAAATAATTTCATTTCTTTTTTTTTTTTTTTTTTTTTAGTACTGGAGATTGAACCCAGGGGCACTCAAAACACTGAGCTATATCCCTACGCTTTTTACTTTTATCTTAAGGCAGGGTCTTGTCAAATTGCCTGGGCAACAAACTTGTGAGCTTCAGCCCCTGGGATTATAAGCATCTTTGTTCAGCCTTTAGATGTTATCAACTTTGTTTTGTACATGAAGAAAACATTCTGAGGTTTAGTCTTAGACTCCAAATCCTGAAACTGTTTTTCCTCAAATAACTCCTGCTTTTTCTTTATTAGGATCCATTTTTAGTTGACCATAATCTTTGGGTCATAGGGATACTGTAGAGCCTTGCTGAGCATTTGAGCTTTCTCATCAGAGGATTCTTACTCTAAGAAGCAAAATTAAATATTCTCACAATGCATTTTAAATTATTTTAATTTTCGGTATTGAGGATAGAACCAAGGGCCTTGTGAGAGCTAGGCAAGCCTTCAATCATAGAGCTATACCCCAAGCCCCGGTAATTCCTTTTTTAAGAGTAGGTTCTTGAGCATATTCTCTTATAAACTGAATGCTACACAACTTGGTTCTCAGGAACCGCCAGAATATGTCATTGGATACCTTTCAGAGATGACTAAGGAGGCTAGGGTTGTAGCCCAGTAGTTGAGTGCTTATTTAGCATACGTGAGGCCCTAGGTTCAATCTGTAGTATAGGGAAAAAATTTCAGATAAAAGTGGGATCATAAGAGATTAATTCATGTTATGGCAATCAGTAACATTTGTAAATTTGTATATAACATTGACCTAATGTTCTCTTTTTTCCCTAGATGCTGTACCCCTCAAGGATTTAAAATGGAAAATAAAGATGGATTTGTGTTCTTGTATTTTTTTGTTCAGTGGCTCAAAAAACTTAATTGTCTTCAATTGATTTCGCTATATGCTTAAAATGATGGAGGTTTTTCAGCATCTTCAAAGTACAAGGAAATCAGGGCTATATATAATGGACAGTATGAGGCAGTTACAGGGATTTAGAAAGTAACAGGTTAACATGAATACCTTAATGGGCATTTTTGGAGGAAATAAATAGGCTTTGGGGAAAGTGGGAAGTGAAAGAAGCATAAAATTATCGCTTAAAAGGTCTGGGGATGTAGCTCAGTGGTAGAGTGCATCAGACTCTTTCATCCCTAGTATTACCCCACCCCAAAAAAGTTTTTTAATAGTATATACAGTATAGATTTTTAATAGTATACTATATATACAGTATAGATTGGTTGGGAAGCTTATGAGTGAAAATGGAATTGGGAATAATTTCAGTAGAAATTACATTGATATTTAAATTTTAGGGGCTAGGGTTTTTGATCCAGTGGTAGGAGTGCTTGCCTAGTATGTGTGAGGTACTGGGTTGATCCAACCAAAAATTTTTTTTTCATATTTTTTTAGTTGTCAGTGGACTTCTAAATTATTTAATGATTTATGTATTTATTTATTTGTGCTGCTGACGATTAGACCCAGGGCTTCATGCATGCCAGGCAAGTGCTATGAGCCACAACCCCAGCCAGCCCTACAACTAAAAATTTTAAAAGAATATTTTAGATTTCAAAGATGTGCTTATAATTATGCAATAAATCATTTTGCAGTATGGTTGTAGAATTCTGATTGCAGTATTCAGTAGTTGTACTAAAGCTCAAGTGGCCATCGAAGGAACCCAATTTCTTGTAATGATTGGGATTTACACTCTTATCAGTTTCATTCATTGGGAGTGTGGCCTCAAGCAAAAGCAATGCATTGGAGTAGCAGCCTTCAGCCATTGGTCAGCTTTTTGCCAGAGCTGTGCATTTAATGGACAACTAGAATTTGATTAGTAGAACTCTAAGGAAATTGAACTTAGAAAGTGTGGGTTCAAGAGCAAGAAAGGTATCTTGTCGTGAACCAACTCCCAATTGTTTTCCAAAAAGCCAGGTAGATATGATTGGTATTTCAGTACTCAGGGATAGAGGCATATAAATAAAATGGCTTATATAAAATGAAGGAAACAAGGTGGTGGTGATGACACAAAGATCTTGAGGCATTTGAGCCATTCAAATTGGGTCATTTAGTGTGKCTAATAAACCTTTTGGGGCAGTGATTGGGAGTCTTTAAAGCTAAAAGCTGCCATGTTACGAAAGATCTTGTGTCCTAGAAAAGGGATAACTGAAAGGGGGGAAAAATCAGGCTTTGCAGTCTTAACTGGTTTTTGATAACCAGAGTAGAGCAGATCCCCTAAACACTAGGAATGGAGGCTTAAAAGATAACAGGTCTTGGCTTTGGTGGCTGAATGGATAATGACATGTTTACAGAGCTAGGAGAGCAGAAGGTGGTTTTGTAGTGGTAACAAAGGTTTGACAAAGTGGGCTTGGAGCTATGTGGCTCCATGCTAGTGTAAGTCCCTGGGTTCAATCCCCAGGACCACCAAAAATAATTGAGGGGCTGGAGTTGTCACTCAGGGATAGTGAACTTGACTTGCATCTGTGAGGCACTGGGTTTGATTCTCAGCATCTCATAAATAAAGGTCTGTCAACAATTAAAAGTATTAAAAAAATTTTTTTAGGACCATGTAGGACACTAACTTGTGGCATCCAGGAAGTCAAATGGAGGTTTCAGGTCTGGTTAGGCACAGGAGAAAAGGGAGCAGAGGTCTCCATAACTGGGAGCTGAAGACTGGTCTGAACAATACTAGGAGAGGGTTGAAGGTGGATAAATGTGCTTTTGAGAAATTCAGGAAAAGAACTGACAGCATCCTTAGGTAACCTGAGTATGCCGTGGCAAATGAGCTGCATGTGCAAATGTGTGTGGGGTTTTTTTTTTTTTTTAGTATTTTTTACTTTTTAGTTGTACACAATACCTTTATATGTGGTGCTGAGGATCAAACCCAGGGCTTCACGTGCTGGTAGAGCAAATACGTGTTCTTTATGAACACAATGCAATGATTGTGAAAGTGCATTGTCTTCCTGTACCCCTACTCAAGTTAAAAGGTACTTTGGCCAAATCTGCCACTGGAGGGATTGCATAGTTCACAAAAATGGGCTTTCTAATACTAGAATATGTCCACTATGCAATCAAAAGCCTTTTATCCATCATGGTACAGGAAGCCTTAATATATTGTTTGTGCTTTTTTTTGTTTGCTGCTGAGGATTGAACCCATGGCCTTGTGCATGTGAAGCAAGCACTCTGCCAACTGAATTGTTTGTGCTTTTAGCAGTGGAAAAATCATGTTTTAAAAAATTTTGATTTAGTATACCAGTAAATAATGACTCAACCTGTAAAATGGTAATACAGCACGATCACACCCTTCTTTTGAGTACACCATCTCAACTAGCATTGTAAATTGAAGGTTTTATTTCTGACAACGACATTTCCTAGCAATTTACAATATTCAGTTTCTGTGGAGTAATATTTAAGATGTTTTCAGTTCCTGATGTTTTGCTGGGGATTATTGGATTTAGCTTCACACATTCTACTGAAGTGCTTTACAACTGAGCTACAGCTCCACTCTTTCCAGTTTCTGCTTTTAGTTCTTTGCTTTCATGGACCACAGGAAGAGTTGTGACATTTTTCAGTTTTTAAGGTAGTTTCCACAAATGGCCAATATCTTAATTCTTGGTTAGCCGGGTGCAGTGGCGCACACCTGTTATCCCAGCAGCTCTGGAGGCTGAGGCAAGAGGATCACCAGTTGAAAGCCAGCCTTAGCAATTTGGCGAGGCCCTGGGCAACTCGGGGAGACCCTGTCTCTAAATAAAATACAAAAAGCGGGGGAGGTGTGGCTCAGTGGTTAAGCGCCCGTGGGTTCAAACCCTGGTATTAAAAAACAAAAAAGGTTTGGGGTTCAGTAAAACAGTAAAGAACATAACTGATTTTGTAGGAAATGACGTTACTTGATAAATGGGACTAAAATTCGTGACAAAAGTGTTCTTCACTTTTCACACAGGACTACATTATAAAATATTTTGCAGCTGTACGTATGTCCATTTGAGAACTGGCATCTAGTTACGGCAAATCTCATGAATTAAAAGGAGCGAAAAACCTCCTTGGTAAGGACACCTACGTACTCCATCACCCGCCTACCACCGCTAGTCTTTCCGGTTTCCACTGCGCAGCCCACGTGAGCCTTTAAATACCATTTACTGGCTGGCTCTGCGCAATGAGACGCTATGGACACGACCTGCTATCGTCTTGTAGATGACACTAGCCAATCGAAAAACTGCTTTTCTTTCCTTTTCTCGGGCTGGTCCCTGGAGCGGCGAGGGGCGGGGCTGGTCCCGGGCACGGAGGCGTCACGCACTCCATGGTAACGACGCTCGGCCGAAGATGGCGGCCGAATGGGGTGGAGGAGTGTGTTACTCCGGGTCGGGCCCAGCTCTTAGCCGGTGGCGCTGGAGTGCTTCTTTGTGCGTCAGAGGAGTTTTACTACTGTTAGGCGGYCTGCCGGCAAGCACCACGTCTATTCCCATCTCCGTGGGCACCTCGCCGCCCTGCCGGCACCACGTCCCCTCTGACACGGAGGTAGGGCGAAGGAAGGGCGGGAGCTGGCCGGGTGATAGTAAAGTGATGAGGGAGAGTCACAGTAGAGGGTAATGATTCCGAGGGGGTGTTTTGGAAGAGAAGGCGAAATTGGGACCGAGACTGAGCGCTTACAGGGCTGGGACTGTTATTAGCTTCCGACACCCTGCAGAGTGGCCGAGTTAGGCACTCAGCAGCATCACATTTCCGTGCTTAGCCGGTAATACCATAGCAGTGGTTTTCACACTGAGTGTGTATCTGAAGCACTTGTTAAAAAACGAAGATTGCTGCCCCGTCTCCCTTTCTGACTCAGTAGGTCTGACATGAGTCCTCAGAATGGCAATTTAGTTTCCAAATGGATGATACTGCTTGTCCAAGGTCCACACTTTGGGAACCAGTATCTAAAGATTTGGGGAGAAATTGGTAGGAGAGCCAGACAAAGGCATTGGAGAGATGTTAAGGGTTTTCTGAAAACAAAAATGAAGGTTTATTTTCAAGTTATTTCATTACTTTGCTTGCTTTAATCCTGTTCTCCCATCCTGCAAGTACCTGCCTGCCTTCTTCCCACCCAGTCGTTTTTTTGTTGTTGTTTTGTTTTGTTTTGATTTGGTTTGTTTTTTTGCTTGTTTAAATCCTTTCAGCTTCAGTTCAAGTCTCCCTTCAGGCATTTAACCAAGTACTGTTCTGTGGTAATGGCTTATGTCATGTTTTGTAGTTAAATTGTAACATTCCTTGAATAAGGTTTGTATGATATACTTGATTCCTTCACAGTACTTAGCTCAGACACAGGTGGACCACAATCATCCCCCTCCCCCTCCCCTGCAGTACTGGGAATTTAATCCAAAAACACTCTACCACTGAGCTACATCCTTAGCTCTTTTTATTTTGAGGCAGGGTCTTGCTGAATTGCCTAGGCATTTCTCTAATTTGCCATCCTTCTGCTTCAGCCTCCAGAGTCACTGGGATTACAGGCATGCCCTACCTCTTTCAACTATTAGTAATCAGAATTGAGAAAAGGAGCAACAGTACTTAAGGCAGGGCTGCATGTTGTGATTGGCTTAGATTCACCTAGAATTTTTTTTCATCTTAACCCAGATAGCTAAGCTCACTCATTTTGGTGGCAGTTTCCAAAAATGTTAGGCCTACTGATTGTAACTTGAGTTGAAGTTTTGCAGCTCTACTACATATTATAACTTTTATCATGACACTGCATTTTGGCTGAATTCATTTCTTTTTAAAATTCCACAGAGCCCTGCACTTCCTCTTTGAATCTGGGTTAAAATGAGAGAAAGTAGTTCAAACAACCACAAAACCTTTTAGGTAGAAAGAACCTTGGTAGCTGTTTTCTTTTTCTGACCATTGGGAGTGTACAGATCTCCAACCTGGTTTTCATTTGTTTGTTTGTTTTTTGGGAGGAGGGAGGTTGTTTATTGGTGATGGTGGTGCTTGTTTCTGTCTGTGTGTGAGTGATGCATGATGCTGGGGATCAAGCTTAGGGCCTCACTCATGCTAGACTGACATTCTACCACTGAGCCATAATCCCACACCCTCCAATTTGTATTTAAACATTTCCACCAATAGGGTAATTTTTTATTTCTAGAGGTAGCCCCTTTGTTTTTTGGAGATGATCATTGTTAAAGTCCTTTTTATAGAGCTGAAAACTTTTGATACTTCCCAATATTTCTATTCCTGCCTCTTGACTGAACAAGGTTAATAGTGATAGTGCTTCATATATTAAAAGCAGTCTATTAAGTTCTCAAGTGTCCTCATTTCTAATTAGTTTCCCTAGTTTTTCATAGAATATATAATAGCATGTTGTCCTCATCATTCTCCTTGCTTTAACCTGGACAAAAAGTTAAGGTGAAAACTATTCATCATAACTCATTGTATTCATGCTAGTGACTACACTTCTGTTACATCCTACAGGCATTCACTTACAACCTGTGTGTGTGTGTGTGTGTGTGTGTATCTGTGATGGTGGTGATAAAATACAGAACACTTTGACTTATTTAACCTGCTGTCAACCAAAACATACACATTTTTACTTTTTATTATATATATTAAAACCAGAATAATATGGTAAACCCCCGTGGGTCTAGTCACTACTTATCAACATTCTGCCATTCTTGCTTCATATACTTCCAGTTATTCCCAATCACCCCACTTGACTTAATGTTATTAAAAAAGGTTTTCTTTTCTTTTTTTTTTCTTTTTGGTAAAATTTACATGTATTGCAGTGCCACATGCATTCATGTAAAATCCATAACCTATCACAATATAGAACTTTTCCATCACTCCATAAAGTTCCCACCTGTCCTGTGCCAGTTATGTCTTTCCCATCCACCATAGGCAACTACTGTTCTAATTTTTTTTTTTTTAAACAGCAGGTTTGTTTTTCCAGTTCTAGAACTTTGTTTATAAGGGTAGAATTTTATGATCTCTGTGTCTGGCTCCTGCTCACAACTATTTCTATGAGATTCATGTTTTTCTATGTGATAGTAATTCCATCCTTTTTATTCCCCTGAATACCCAAATCATAATCTGTTTTTGCTTGATCTCAATTATTTTCAGTTTTGGGGTATTGTAGAAAAAATACATCATTGTATAAGGGTTTTATTAGATATGTTTTTATTTCATTTTGTAAATACTTAGGAGTACATTTGCTAGGTCAGAAGGTAAGCGAATATTTAATCTTATAGAAAATTACCAAATCTGGGGCTGGGGTTGTGGCTCAGTGGTAGCATGATTGCCTAGCACATATGAGGCACTGTGTTGCATCCTCAGCACCACATAAAAAAATAAATAAGTAAACAAATAAAAGGTATTGTGTCCATTAAAAAAATGTTAAAAAAAGAAAACTATCAAATCTTTCTCCAAGTTCTGTACCATTTTACATTCCCACCAGCAGTTTATTAAACGTTATGATTGCTATATATCCTTACCAACAGAGGTTTCTTCCGAGAAGTTTTTGCTTACCCACCAGCTCATAAAGACATTCTCCTATTTTGTAGAAACTTTTGGGGCTATGATTCATTCTCAAATTGATTTTTATTTTTATTTATTTTCTGTGGTACTAGGGATTGAACCCAGGGCCTAGTATATGCTAAGCAGGCATTCTACCACTGAGCTACATCTCTAGTCCTTTTTTATTCTTTTGGTACCGGGAATTGAACTCAGGGGTACTTGACCACTGAGCCATATCTCCAGCCCTATTTTGTATTTTTATTTATTTAGAGACAGGGTCTCACTAAAGTTGCTTAGCACCTCACCCTTGCTGAGACTGACTTTGAACTCATGATCCTCCTGCCTCAGCCTCCCCAGCTGCTGGGGTTATAGGCTGCACCACCATACCTGGCTTCCAGTCCTTATTTATTTATTTATTTATTTATTTATTTATTTATTTTTAGAGAGAGTGAGAGAGGGGAGAGAGAGAGAGAGAGAGAGAGAGAGAGAGAGAGAGAGAGAATTTTTAATATTTATTTTTTTTAGTTCTCGGCGGACACAACATTTTTGTTGGTATGTGGTGCTGAGGATCGAACCCGGGCCGCACGCATGCCAGGCGAGCGCGCTACCGCTGAGCCACATCTCCAGCCCCAGTCCTTATTTATTTTGAGAGAGTGTCTAATTAAATTACTGAGGCTGGAAAATTTGCAGTCCTCCTGCTTCGAAGTCCCTGGAATTGCAGGCATGTGCCACCGTGCCCAACTGGGGTTTACTTTGTACAGTTTTTGTTATTTATTTGATTTTTTTGTCTGTTTGTTTTTGGTAGCACTGACAGTTGATTCCAGGACCTTCTGCTTGTTAAGGAAGCTCTCTCTCACTGAACTATACCCCCAGTCTTATTTATTCTAGCAAATAGCCCACGCTGGCCTTAAAATTATGATCCTCCTGCCTCAGTCTCCCAAATAGCAGGGATTACAGTTGTACATACTGTGCCTGACTTATTATTTCCTCTTTCTACTTATTGTGTATTTACTTTGCTCACATTGCAAGGGGGAAAATTTAGGTCATTTTTTTTTTAGGTTCTTTTTTAAAATTTTTTTTAGTTGTAGATGGACACAATATCTATCTACCTACCTACCTTTCTTCCTTCCTTCCTTCCTTCCTTCCTTTCTTCCTTCCTTCCTTCCTTCCTGTGCTAAGGATCAAACCCAGTGCCTGTAAATGCAAGGCAAGTGCTCAATCACTGAGCTTCAACCCCAGCCCCGTTTTTTAGGTTCTTCAGGTCAATGTAAACATTCAAAGATAGAAATGCTGGGAGTGATAGATTGCTTGCCTAGTGTGCACCAGGCCCTGGGTTCACACACAGACACACACATACCAAATAAAGAAATTTCTATGTACATCTTTAATTCCTTCCCACAGATTTTGACACTTTGTATTTTAATTATCATTTATTTAAATGTTTATTTCCTTTGGCAATTTCTTTTTTGATCATGAATTATTATAATTGTTTAAAATGTATAATTTAAAAATATTCAGTTTTTATTGTTAATGGTTTCTAATTTAAGTGTATAATAGCCTCTGTAAGATATCGGTTATGAAATATGAGATTATTTTAGTCATAGCTTAAACTATGTTGTAGCCTTTTTTTTTCCCCATGTATAAAGAATATATGTTGTGCTGGACATGGTGGCCCATGCCTGTAATCCTACCAGTTTGGGAAGCTGATTCAAGAGGATCGCAAGTTCAAAGCCAACCTCAGCAAGAGAGAGGCACTAAGCATCTCAGTGAGACCCTATCTCTAAATAAAATATAAAATAGGGCTGGAAATGTGGCTCAGTGGTTGAGTACCCCTGAGCTCAATCCTTAGTACCCATCCCCCAATTTTTTTTAAAGGGTTGGAGCTGTGGCTCAGTGGTTGAGTGCTCTTTAGCTAAATCCCTGGTACCAAAAAAAAAAAAAAAAAAAAGAATATATGTTGTATGATTATTGAGTGGATTTCTATACATGTCAATAAGGTAAGGCGATAGTATACTTCATATTTCCTATATTCTTAAAAT